TTACCTCCTTATCCCTAATAAAGACCTTGTCTGCACGCAGTTTAAACTCTATAGTTATTTACTAGAAGGAGAAGTTTGCCTTAGTACTATTATATAGCAAGCTAACTAGGAAAGGTTTATAGCGTAAGGTAGGAGAGGGTAGAGGTAGTATATTATTAAACCTAGCAGGCTTAGAGGAGGGTTAGGATAGAATCTAATTACGTATTTCCTTGTTCTATTAATATAGTATAGCTATTATAGTAGAGTCTTAAGCCTATTATTCTATTAATCTATAGACCTACTATATTAGCCTTTCTACTATATTAGGTTGCACCTAGTTATTCTAAATATCTAGCGCGTCTATCTCTTATTACTATTATAGTATAATTAGAAGAAGATACTAAAATATTATAGACTAGCCCTAAGGGAGAATATAATAAGCGTTAATAATAGTATTTAGTATCTTAAAGGAGAGATAAGCCCTCCACGCCTTTTTATAGGTGTCTAGTGTGTTTGCTTAGTAGTAGTGTTAGACTTGGTCTGTCTTGTGTTAGACTAAGGCTTAGGCATAAGCCTAAGCCCTTCACATAGGATACTAGCGACTATAGGTAGGCCTATTACCTGCCTGCCCGCCTGCCTATTAGATTACTAAATTGCCTACCTAGGAGCTAATTTTAGTAGTTATAACTAGTAGGTAGGTTAATATATTAACCTAACTACTAATATTAAGGCTAGTAATAGTACTACTATATAGCTAACTATAGCAAGGGCTATAGTTAAGCTATTAGAGCCTAGTAAGGATAAGGAGCTAGGTAAATTGCCCACTACAGGTAGGGTAGCTATAGTAGGCGGGGTAAGGGTTGTGGTATAGGTAGAGGTTAGGGCTATAATTAGGGTAGGCGAGGGATAATATATACATGCTTAGTAGGCTGCTATTACCTTATATAAGCTAGTATTGTAGTAGGTAGTAAGGCTAGGTAGTTATTATTAATCTACTTAGCTAAAGTAGGGTCGCGCTAGTTGCTAGACTAGCCTGCGCCCTTATAGTGAGATTTTTTAGCGTGTGGTTTAGTAATAATTATCTGCAGCTTGCAAGGAGTAGTAGCAACTTTAAGGTAAGGAGCCTAGCTGCGATTAACCCACTAATATAGGTAGTAATCTGCCGCCTATAGTACCTTTAAATAAAGCTCTAGATCTACTAGAAAATACTAATATAGTATACTAAGCGTCCTACTATATTAGTTAGTATACTGCAAGAACTTATAGGCACTATTAAGCTGCTGCTTGCGCAGCTTAGTACGCGCGCAAGCTAGGTTATTTGCTATTATTACGAGTGTATACTAGGTTATACGCCTAAATACTACTAAAAATATTAGGTCGCGATAGTTAAATTAAAGCTAGAAGTTCTTAATACTATTTATTAACCTTACGTGCTTTATATGCTCCTTATAGAACAGGCGGAGCCTTTAAAATAGTATAAGGAGGTTAGCTTAACTACCTTGTAGCCACTCCTTAATAACGTGGTGCGCTCCCTTAACTTTGCTTATTGCAGTAAGCTAGAAATAAGGGTGCTTATTAATATAATAACTTATAATCTTAGTAG